TTTTAAAACCTAGTCTTTAAGCAGTGCTAGGAGGTGCGATGTAGTAATCACAGCCTTTAGTAATCATTGTCTTATGATTCATATATATGTTCCTGCAATACAACACAAATACTACCTAATTTGACTATTCATCAATTCAGGCCTATTGTGGCCAACTGTTACTGATCAGCTCATAAGAAGTGAATTGATTAGGCTATTTTCCTGCTTCAGTCTCATTCTATCTACTATTACTTCAGTCAGCATCTAACACCAGCCAAGCACTCTATCCTCCACGGCTCACTGACTCTTCAATGAACTTGCGCATTCGATGCTCAACAAACAGGGTTTGTACTATTACTAGCTTCACTACACCAATGAGCAAAGTAAGATTCAAAGGGATAAATAATGTGTTCCGAATCTCACAGCTAGTAAAAGGACAAGCAAAGTCTTGGTTTGCAAATCTAAAGTCAGTATGTCCATCCTTGTGTTACAGAAATGCCACACCCTTCTATTCGTGCACTAAAACAAGCAAGACTAAAACGTCATACGTGATGTCAGTTACAGTGACTTAGTGCTGCACAGTACTTTACAGGTGCTGGGTCTCTACGCCCACCACAGCCTCCTTGGGAGGTGCAGAGTACAGTATTAGCATGTGTGCAAAGCATGCTGCTCTTGGTCACTTCCTGAGAAATCTAGGAAAACCAGCTACTTCAGACACGCCAAAGACCCTCTTAGCCCATCCCATTCCACCAGGGGAGGGGACTAGGCAGAGGTCCATGGGCATAAAAACACATTAAATTAATAAAATTATTTGTCTCTTTTTCAAAGCACTTCCTTGGCTGATGCCCTGCTAGTCACCTTGTGGGGAAAGCAGATGACAGGACTGTTCTTTCAATCTCCAAGGAGACTGAAGTTCAGGACTACTAAGTGAATTCCCAGTTACACGTGATATTGCAGGACCAGAACCCAACTCTTCTCATGCCCTTCTCATCTTCTGGTCCCTTCTCAGAGTGTGAACTACACAGCACCTGGTTTCAGGTGGACCCAACAGGTGAAGAAGCAACTTCATCATCAAGACCAGCACTTCCCCTGGGAACCCAGCAGTGATTCCAAAGAAACAAAACACTAAAACACCAACATGTAGTTTTCTTTTGTGTGTTTTCTGACAAAATCTTTAAAAGGGACAAGAAGTTAAGAGTAATTTTTAAAATGAAGTATCACCAAGCTTCTAGAAAGCTAGCCTGCGATGTCATCTATCTGAATTTTAGACTTAAATGAGATGCTCTTCCCACTCTCTGGTGGTGATGGCACATTCTCCTCAATGGCAACTTAATGTGAAACTACAGCACAGGCCACAGCATCCCAGGACACTATCATCAGAGGTCATTTTCACTGTGCCTGTACGTGGCTATACAGGATATACAGTTCATAAATTTCATACTCACCTTGACAAAAGGTGTATGTTATAAAAACAAAGCTCTTTCCAAAGCATCCGTCTTCCAATACCTTAAAACTATACCAACACTAAATCAAGTGTGCAGATTAAAATCAGTTAAAAAATGGAACAAGATGGTTTGGCCACACGAAAGAGGGAAGAGCCAAGGAGCAGAAACAAATACTTCTAAATGGTTAACAGACTTAGATACATGTTTCTTTGTCAGAAGCCAGTAGTGTGGTCTCAAGTTTCTAAATCGGGAGGCAGCTTTGGGGATGACACCTGTATTGATCTGATGGACTCTGAGTGGTTTTTAGTAACCTAAGTCACTTCCTTTTAACATTTTGGCCACTCTGGTTTTATAATCCTTCTAGTGCTTGCTTTAAATTTTTGAAAATAATGTTATTAAAATAATTTTTAAAATGTTCTTTATTAAGAGAACAAATAGAAGTAGACTCATTTTGATTTTTTTGCTGCTTGGGGGAAAGTCAGGGGGGAGCAGCTGGGCAGAGAAGTGGGGGGATTGTCGCCTTCCCCGTTAGGCATCTTAGGTTAAGACCCAGCTCACACACCCTCAGCTTTCACAACCCTCCTCTAGCTTTGCCACTCATCCTTAACACTGGTGTCCCCACTAGACAATGACTATCTGAGCAGGCCTCTGTCTGTGTCTTAGACATCTTGGTGCTTCTGGCCCAGAGCAGGACACTCAACAGGAACTCAGGGAACACTGGCCAAAACAGCAGGCCTGGCCTGAAGGCTCTGCTTTGCAGACATGGTTCTTACTTTACACAAAGTGCCCTCAGCATTTCCTGTGAAACTGGCCTTACGGGTGGAATGGAACCAGGATCCAGCCACTGGGAGTCAGCATGAATGGACAGTGAAAATCCCTGGGAAGATTTGGGCTTATTTTAAAAAATGTACATGGCAAACAAGTGGCAAATTATATATTGTCCTTCATAAGAAATTTAGTTTTATGATAAAATTTGTTTTTAAATTTCTTGCTATTTTCCTTAAAAAATAGTTCAATAAACTGTCCCAGGTGATTTGGTGATGGGAAGCCCCCAGGGAGTACAAATGAGATGAAAAATGCACAAAATGATGTTTTATATATATACATATATACACACACATATATATATATACACCATATATATGTTTATTTTTATAAACTATAAAAATAAAGTTTTATAATAGTTTATATATATAAACTGGTTGTTCCATGAGCGTGTGTGCCTTTTGAAAATCTTTCACCTTGGTGGTCATCCCACCCTAAGGTTTTGTACATTTAATACCACTGGAACCACAGCCCTTCCTCCCATCTCTCCCTGTTTTTCCTTTTAAAGTGCCTCATCATGCCTGGGACAGTTCCTGCTTGGGAAAGCTCAGAGATAATGCTTGTCAGCAGCACTGTTAAAATTAGTGGTTTCCATGGCCTCAGTCAGTTTAGTTGGGTTTAGGAGACGTGAGGCGCCAAGGAATTCATGAGAGAGCGGCTGTTAACCTGGTATGGAGAAACAGTGCTGTTTCTCCAGGAATAAACCACTACTATGAAAGGCTACAGGGGGTCATTTGGGGGAAGGCGCTTTAAAGGCTAAGTGAAAGAACACAAGGTTGGAGGATCGTGTCTCTGTAGAGGTAGATCATGCAGGCAAGGGGGACGCCTTTACTCCCCACCTCCGCCCCCAACCACCCACTCCTCTCATGTGGGGCCTGGGCTCCGAGGCCACTGTTCCAGGCAGGGGACTCCAGGGGCACGGTGTGTCCATGGTGTGAGGCTGACACACTGATCTAGGAGAATTCCCTGAAAGCAGGCAACTCAGGTTAGAGGGAAGACGACGAGGAGAAGAGGGGCGGGTCATGAGCTCATTTGGCTCAAGAAAACATGGTCTTTAGAGGAATGCGATGACAGTTTCCTGACTGCCCCAGCACACATGAAGACATCACTTACCCGAGATACAAGCTCAGAGAGAAGACAGAGTGAGTGAGGAGGAGATAGAGTCACTTGAATCAAGTCTGTCAAGTGTTTCCCGAGGCTGCTGGGGCTCAGTGAGTGACGAGTGCTCTTCTTGGGGACGTGGGCACCTCGTGGGCAATGGTTACATGCTGCAGCTGGTTAGGGTTCCCTTCGCTAGGGCAATCCTCCTTCAGAGGTGCCTGTGGGGTATGGGAGGGACACACCAGCCACCCAAACACACTGGGATGGTGCCTCTAACCCCAGGTGCAAGGCAGAGCCCAGAAACACCAAGGGTCCCCTCCGTGAGCCAGAGTTCATTCAACCACCTCTACAGAGATCAACCTACATGTCTGAGGCAGGAGACAAAAAGAGGTTTCGAAAGAGTACTAGGGACTAAGACAAGGTCACAGGAAATATGCACAGAACTGATCATTCTGCATTAAGGGAAGGTTCTACAAGCTAAGATTAGAAAGCAATGAATTCGAGGGGAATTCTCACAGTGACAGCAGCAGAAAACCAAGCCAATAAGCAATTCTGATCGAAGGAGGCAAGATTATGAGATTAGTCAACATTTACGTCTAATCTAGTTTTACTTTTCCTTCACAATCAAATCTGAAACACCACGGAAATATTCATGATACACAGTGGGTAATTTAAAGGGGCCATATTAGAAACAAAACCACCAAAGACAAAAGACCCTCTCCTGGGGGGAGACCAAGCCCAGAATCCTTTTACTCACTTGTAATCTACTTCTACACATGGGCAGACTAATGCAACTGGCTTCAGGGAAACATTTTCATTAAATTAATAGTTTTTGGCAAGCATCAGAAACACAGAGTCTCACAGACAGATACGGGCAGAAAGAATCACAGCTCAATCCAGAAGCAACACACTGAGGGACACCGGCGTCCACACGCATGCAGAGAAGCCCGAGGCGACTAGAGACACGCAGAGCCGCCGCGGGGCAGCAGCAGAATGCGCAACACGGACCCAACTGCTTACCCACTAAGGACACCAAGAACCAGGTTAAGGACGAAAAATGAGCCAAGGATGATCAGACTAACAAAATACACCCATGGCCATTCCCATCCTATCGCATCATTTACCTGTAAAATGTAAGGAGATCAGTTATCAGTTATCCATTTACTAAAGAGCAGAGCCCTTGGGACAGCTGCCAGACCACTCAGGACTTTGAAGATTAGAGCCCCTCACACACTTCCATCACTCGTCTTCTACTAAGGCCAAGCTCCGCTGCTACAATCTACAAGCGTGGCCTACGAACAGTCAGTTGGACTAGCTCACTTAGCTACTGTTTTGTACTGTTTTGCATTAGATTTGGATCCATCCCAAGAAAGCAATTATAAATGCATCTCATTTTAGTATAGAGGGCAGGCAATGGATACTAAATCCTAAGCAACAACACTGATTAATTTCTGGTCAGTAACAGTTCTATAGCCTTGTTTCATGAAGACTGGTGAGGTTCCAGGAAACACCGGGTTTCAGGAAGCCTCAGCAGGAAAGATCCATGGAGAGCCCACGGCACCCACTGGAGGCCCCCATCTCCCAAAGCCTGCATGGTCTTGGCAACTGTCCTCAGGACTCTGCATTCAAGATGAAAGAGGTGTGGCTTACCCGCTCAATACACCAAGTACAAGATTTAGTACGAAAAATGACCCAAAGATGACGAGACTGACAAAATACACCCAGGGCAATTCAAATCCCATAGCATCATTCATCTGCAAGAAATAAGATGGTCTCACAGGAGTGGATTAATAGAGAATCTAGTAAGGAGAAAGGGTCATGTTAGAGACAGCATTCTAGACATTTATTTACACATTTGCTTAGATTCAAATCTGAGACAGCAGTAAATGCACTTTCATATTCTCTCTCTCTCTCTTTCACACACACACACACACACACACACACACACACACACACACTCACAAGAATCAGAGCTTTCAGGCCAAATGAAAGCACACTCTGGTCACAGGCAGGGAAATTTGCTGGGATATAGCTCTTTCTCACTGGACTTCTTGATAAGGGATTTTCGGGAAAAAATTCCTGGTAGTAGACAAAGTTAGGGCTTAGCTGGAAACTATTTTCTACTCTACCCAAATGGTTAGCTTTTGTTGCTTTTAAATTTTTTGATATCTCTTAGTTAGAGATAGATTTTCTAGATTTGAATCTATCCAGTCTTTTCTTTAAAAAAAAAAAGCCCTAAAATAATAGCTTTTGCTGACAAGGCAAGCAACCCAAGGAGACCTAATAACTCATCTTAAACCAAGAATATCTGTAACTAGCATAAGAGCTCAGGGCCAAACCTTTCCCAGGAGGACCTGTCAGGGAGGCCCTGTCTGACTGTGCAGCTTGAGCTTGTCTTAGAAAGTGGTGGCACCTATGAGCCCTCTTTACTAGTAACTCCAGTCAGCTCCCAGCTGGGGTCAACTCTTCCAGTAACTACTGTGAGGAAGAAATGCGTTTTGAAGTCAGCTGGCTGACCCAGGTCCAGGGTGCTTTGGGGAATGAGATTTTTCCTATCCAAACCTCTTGGATGGGCCAGGAGGAAAGAACCCTAGCATTTACAAAGTGATCCACCCTGGGAGAGTTGGCCTCAGCTGGAGCTCAGGCCCTCGGCCTCTCTCTTCTGGTTAGCAGCCCCCTTTTCAGCCTAGGACAGACAGAACCTGCTCAGTGAGTTGTGCCTCTATGGTCCAAGGGGACCCAGACAAGGCCTCCCTGACAAGTTTGGGAAAGGTTTGGTCCTGAGCTTTCATGCTGGAGCAAACAGGTGTGTCAAAGGTTCACAGCTAGAGGGAACTTTCCAGCAACACAGGTCAGTATTAAATCAGGCAAATACTTCTCCCAGGAAGAAGTATTAAGGACCAGTGAGGGGACAGAATGGAGTGACCCCAGTACTGAATTTGCTGGAACACCCAGAATCAGTCTGGGTCACTTGTGGGTCATGAGACCTTTAAGCATGTGTCCTACACATTATCTGCATTCAGCCTTAGCTTTACAGAATGAGGCTTGTACACTTCACTATGTTTATCTCATGTGGAAGTCAAACAGGAAAAGAGAACATTAAAAAAAAAATTACCTAACATCTGTTACTGAAGTCCAGGGAGAGGGCATTAATCCCTTATGAAACACCTGTTCAGCTACATGAAAACTGATGTGCTTAATAGAACTCATATCGGTCTGCACATCTTACAATGGCAATTAGAGTAATGAATGAGCCAGGGCTGTGGCTGCAATTGTTGATCGAATTAAGTTTTATAAACTAATTTCAGCAGGAAGGCAGAGGGTAATTCTTCCAACTACACCACTAAACTTATTTAAAAACCCATGTGTGGAGAAGAACCAGGCTGCCTAGGGACTGTAGCCAGTGCTTAGCCTGGAGGCAGGACCTTTGCTGGGGGATGTCTCTGGGCTGTTTGCTCTGTGGAGACAGGAGTGTATAGGACAGGGGGTGGATGCAAGTCCAGACTGCCAAGAGACCACCCTCTTCTGCAGCTTTGGCAAGGTCAGCTGGCCAAGTCATCTGCTTACCAATCCTCATTCAGCCTCAGCTTTGTGTTCCAGAGAATGGTTTAAGTAATGGCCATCTGCTCCACTTGGGAGGGATTTTTTTTTTCATTAAAGCATTTTTTTTTTTAATTTTGGAGCAGACATTCAATAGATTCAAATCAGAAATAACACTTGTAATGACAGGTGGGGGGTAGAGTAAGACTGGTGCTAAACAAAACCATCGGAGAGTCTCTTCACAAGTCAGTATTTTTCAGACCTCACCATATACTAAGGACAAGTCAGATCTAGTACAATGTTCCCCTAAATACCCATAAGAAAACAGATTCTGTTGGGGACTTTGTCTACGTGGTCTATATTAACAATTGAGAAATCAGCATGAGCTGAAGTATTTCGATTTATATTAACTTTTAGAATATTTATACCAAATAATCCAGGAAAAATATTTATACATTTTTTATATTTAGTTTCACTTTTTTCCTCATTTCAAAGGATGAAATACATACTCATGTGTCAAATTAAAGGTCGACCTAAAGGCTTTGTGTTTTTTTTTTTCTGTTAGCAATGCTACCAAAGCTTGGTTGTAGCTTACTAGAGCATGGACTAAGAGAATGGCAAAAGAAGACCAAATCTTGGCTGACAGATTAAAGAGGAATTTCTCAGGAATCCTGAATGAAGTAGATCGTCAACTTGACCATGAGAACTCCCTGCTAGGGTCTCACAGCTAACACCGCCACAGTTATGTTGCCTGAGAAAAGAGCTTAGCACTAAGGCAAGAGCGCAGCAATGATTTACATGGATAGCTCTCTCCTGAAACAAACACTGTTTTAATTCTTACATTTGAAAACATTTCCTGAGTAAATAAAATATGGGTCAAGCTTTTTCTGCATTGTGAAGGCAAGAAACTGTAGCCCAGAGAGTTTGGTGATCTATTCAAGCTCACACACACCCAGCCTGTCCAATCTTAATGTTCTCTCCTCGCACTGTACCTCTGTGGACAACAAATATGAGTGAGTCAGTTGAATTTAAGGAACTCACTTCATCAAAGTGCTCTAAAGTAACTTTTTCTCCCACTAAACACTAATAATCCTATTCTCTGTACATCAAGTGTTTCTTTCTGCATTGCCTTTCCCCACCCCAGTAGTTCTCTTCTGAACAACCAGAAAGTTATTTGCCAGTCACTTCAGAAAATGAAGGCATCAATTAGTTCGAGAATATTGACTGAATATAAATTCACAAGATGCAAAATAAGCCCTGGCAGTCTTTGTCCACCATATAAAAATATCTGAAGGACTGGATTTTGCTAACAATCAATATTTAAAATTTAAAATCTAATCTCCTTAGTTATCCTCCTCAAAATGCTACCTTTACACCCTACTTGTGATACAAATAGAATTTCAACATGGCCTATCCAAAATAGTATTTGTTGAGCACCTGCACTGTGTTGGGCAGGGAACGTCTATTCTGGAACACTATAGTGTAAGTTCCCACTGACTGTGGCCCACAGCATATTAAGTTAAGAAGGCCTTGTGGATATCTCCATGATGTATTTATTAATGTAATCAATAAGTCATTAATGGGAATTCTGTTTTTAACACTTCTGATGTGTTTCAGAGAATAAGACCTTAGTGAATACTCTGGAAGATAGGACTTAGCTGCCCCCTAGTGTTCTAGAAGGTCTAAAGACCTCTAACAGAGGAAGAAAGCCTAGGAAAGAGTACTGGGTTCCAGTCTAGACCAGGGTCACAAACTTTGACCTGTGGACCAAACGTAGGCCACCATCTCTTTTTGTATGCCAATGAGCGAAAAGCAAAACAAACAAACAAACAAAAAGACCTTATGTTTTTAAATGGTTTTAAAAATTCAAAAGAATGACACCTTATGACACATGAGTATAATCCATTTTCAAGTTTCAGAGGCCACAAATAAAACTGTACAGGAATGGGGTCATAATAGCCCATGTTTACATGATGTCTGTGGATGCTTCCAAGGACAAAGTCAGAAGACAGAGTGGGGCAGTAATAAGAGGCCCTATGGTCTGCAAGGCCAAATATATTTATTATCCAACCCCTTATGAAAAAATATCCAGGCCCAATTCAAAATGAGGAGTCACCACATCATGTGCTGGGGGACCCTGGGCATATTCTGTGGTCTTCTTACATTCCACAGATCCCACCTTCAAAATCTCTTCAAAATTATCCCTTCTGTAAAGGGATTTATTACTTGTTCCTCTATCAGAATAAATACGTCATGCAATTCGTAGAGGATATAGTTATATATTGTCAAATTACTAGCACTGTGATCATCACATGAACAACAGAGGTCATAATTATATCATCTTAGGTGATGCTTAAAGGTTCCCAGGAAGACAAGTGGAAACTTGTTTCTGGGTACATGGAGATTTCTCCCACTTTTCACTTGCTTGACAACAGGAAAATGGTCAAGGGAGAATCAATATGCAGAAATATAACATAAAGTATAACATTTTCCATTAGTCAAGGCATGTTGGATCAGCAGTTGGCAATTCACCATGACAATAAAGAACAACAGAATGGAGAGCAGTCACGGGTTTTTACTTTTTTAAAATATCAAATGTGGTGGGGGGAGGAGGAGTTTGAGTCATTTGGAGGATGCTTTTTATACTTATTAGAAACTTGACAAGATTGGGATCGAGACCTCAACTAATCTAAGGGTTGCAATTTAGGAGATAAGTGTGAAAACAAACCACTGTCGACTGTGAAGGTTCCCTTGCATGGCCATGGTCTTGACTCATCCAGTAATCCCCCTCCTCCTTCCTACTCATGAGAGGCATTGTCTCATGGGACTAAAGAACAGGTGTGCACACCCACACACACACACAACACGCACACGCACACACAAGCACAAGCTCATGCGCTCTCTCCTTTCCCCATGGCAATCAGGAAAAGGAGGGGAGGGAATAAACAACATACAACATCGGTGGTGTTCAAACTCACTCCCAAACCAGACTCACATTTTGGGGATGAAAATAAAAAGATACCTCCCTTGTCTAACATTAAATATTTAAAGACATCTACAACCCTGTGAGCATGGTATTCATTGGTGAAGGGAAGTAAGCATCTATTTATAATTGTCACATGCTATGTTCTCTGAAATTACAGAGTACCATGAAATCCAGTAAAGCATCTAAAATTTAGATATTATCAGAAGCTATTTTTCAATTTGTAGCCTTCCAACTAGAGATGGCCCATTTAAAAAGTGCGTATTACTAGCTGCCTTATAACAAATCATTATTGAATCCTGGTTAACCCCATTTGGACTTTGATTTAGGCTCAAAATTTGCATGTCAGCTATTTTTCCCAGTACCTCGGTACCATGGAAAATAATTTCTAAATTTCTGTGAGCTTTTTCAAATTCTACCAAATGAGCTCACAAACTTAACTCTGGGAAATGGCCATGAAAATATGGCTGCTCTTCATTTACAGCAAACCTTTTTGATCTGGCAGGAACAAGAAGAACCAGACCTTAGCTGCTGACAGGATGCCCATCTGTTTCCACGGTGGAAAGGATAGGTCCACCAGCCTGGGAGCTTGATGAGCCATTTCCACTGTCTCTGTTGGAGTTCTGGAGCTCCAAAGAGAAAGGGAGGGAGAGCTGAGGGCTTGTGTGGGGCTGGTTTAGAGTAACACTGAAGATGAAGTAGGTATATACAATAATAGGGGACGCCTACTTTGGCTTTAAGGCTAAACTAAGTTATGAAAAGGATCCAGTTTATCTTCTCCAACTTCCAGTTATAACCTAGTAGAACAAATCTGTCTTTAGGATCAAAGATCAATTTTAGTCCACAGTTTTAGTCTCTTAAACTAGGAAATGACCCCTTGGCTTTCTTAGCATTTTACCAGGGCAGCTAAGGGGCTATCAGTCAGGCCTAGCAAAAATTCCCCAGACAGCACAGTGGAGTGGAATAAGCCAAATTATACAGCGATTTCCAGAACTGAAAGACCTTAAGGGAAAAGGAGCTGAGTCTTGCTGAGCAAAGGGAGGGGCTGCTTCTCTTCCCAAAGAACTGATTTCCAGGGTTTCTTTCTCGGCCAGCTCCCTAATGGTTTTAGCTAGTAGAGACTCACTTCAAGGGAAATACTCCATCAACTCTTTGCACTGCTTACCCAGTAGAGCACGTCTGTCCAGCCCTCCATGGTGATGCACTGAAATACGGTGAGCATGGCAAAGGCAAAGTTATCAAAGTTGGTGATGCCTCCGTTTGGGCCAACCCAGCCGCTCCTACACTCTGTGCCATTGGCGGCACACTGGCGTCCATTCCCTGAGAACGCACATGGCGCTGGGTCCTCCTCAGCTACAAGATCTGCAAACAGAGCGAGGAGGCGTCAGCACTCAAGAACAGGGACATCCGCAAAGCCAAGTGGGCAGCAACTAAAAGCTTGCCAGATCCTAGACATACTCCCTCCTGTCCATGCTGCCCCAAGAGCCTACTTGTCCTCAAGGTCCACTTCAAATCCTATATCCAAAGAAAGAGCATTTCCTCCCCTCAGAATTCACTGCTCTCGCCTTTCTTATCTGAACACCTTCCTTCAGCTTATTCAAAACGTTATCGATTCATCTTGTTTCCAGCTCGGGGGTGCGGGGGTGCTTCTCACTTTGTTTGCCAGAACATGTTACATAGGAAATCAGAAAAGGCAACTGAACTCTCATTTACTGTGAATGTAATTCACACTAAGAACTGGCTCAATAGCTTTAATGGTATATTTGAGTTTTATCATCTCTCATTTTGTTTTAGATTTTCCCCAAGCCACGGACTAAGCTGTTTTTGGGAAAATCAAATTTTTTGTAGTTGGGTTAATTACCATTTTCACTACTCACCTGAATTGGCAAAAAAACATGTTTTGTGCATTTTTCCAATAAAAAGTTCCAATCCTATAATAGCATAGATAATGATTACAAATAATACCAAAAGGGCTATGTGAAGGAGGGGAACCATGGCTTTTATAATGGAGTTCAGGACAACTTGTAAACCTAGGAAAGAGAAAAATAAGTTTGTGAGCTGGGAGGACATTTCAGTGGTGTGTATGTCTGTATGTGTGCACAACTCCTGACCATGCCTGCCCCACGTGTGACACATAGTTATGAAACTCAGGTATCACAACTTTTAATTAAAAATCAAAAAGCCTGAATGTGACATTAAAAGGAGCATAAAGATCATCTAATCCAACTCCCGCAGTTGGAAAAACTACACCCCCAAGAAAGGACTGCCCAATCATCAGTCAGTCCTTCGTTTCCGTATTTTTTCACTCAAAACAATTCTTTGAACATTTACCATGTGATGAGCATAAGGTTTAGTATTTTTAAGGTGCATGAAGATGTAAGCTACAAAGTACCTTCTCTCAAAGAGGTATTCTAGAAGGAGCCATAAGAACCAAACCAGTCACTATAAGACAGCACACATGTACATATGAGTAATATGTTAAGATTCAAGAGGGGTGAAGATGCTGCATCTGAGTGGAGAGAAGAGAACATGGCAGGGCCTGAAGACCAAAGTGCAGGGATTTCCAGAGGTGGTCATGGGAGAGTGACTGCTTCAGGCTGAGAGGACTGCAGCAAAGGCACAGAAGTGAGCAGAGCATGTGGGCTCTGGGTGCCGAGCCTCGATGGGTGCTCATACAGTGAAAAGGAAAATCAGGAAAGAAAGGCACACTGCAGCATGGAGCTCAGCGGTTGCATGAGGGTTAGAGGCCCAGACCTGAGTCCAACGGCAAACAGTGGCTTCTTTAGAAAGAGGCAGCAGAGATGAGACGGGCAGGAGAGTCACTGGAGTATGGGCCTGTCCAGGCAGGACAGGATGGAATGAGACCCCAGAGCAGCACCTGGGTGGAGGGAGGAGCTCAAGGGGCTGCACACTCCGACTATCCAAGGTAGGTAAAGAGGTGAGCCTAGCAGCTGACCAACACAAGCACATCAAGAGGAAGCACCTGGACGAGGCAGATGAAGGGCGAAGGAAGGAGCGGGTGGGAGCAACTTTGGACCTGCTGCATTTCATCACCAGCTTCACAGGAGAATGGAAGCGCTTCTAGTATCTTCTCACTTTCTCAACACATATTTTTAAAGAATGAACGATGCAGAGGTGACAGAATTGCATCAGATAGAAATCAGAGTAAACAGAGCAATGAGAACACTTATCAACAGTACCAAAAGTTTGCCATTGTAAGAAGTACCATGCAAGAGGAAGAGCTGGGAGGAAAGGAAGATCAGAAAGGATCTCACACTCACAGAGACCATTTTTCCAAGACTCTCACTAAACTCCCGGGTACTATCTTCAGATAGTTTAACGGTCAAATAGACACCTTTAGAAAAAATGATAAGTAACATGGTTATTGTTTTTTCCTTCCATGAGGAATAGAGGAGAGGGGAAGGAAAACTTCTGTTCTGACCTACATGAACAGGGTTTCTTGAATTTTGAGATTTTTTTAGGCATGGATAGGCCATCCCAAATCATCACCCACCATTTAACACTTCTCACGTTTCACGAATACACTCACATATAGAGTACTGTATATTAGACTGGACAAATTTGAGATGATGACGCTGAAGCTTAACATGGATGCATACACCTCCATGACTTTAGGTTCCTTTGAACATTATCGATGTATACAACAGATCAAATGTTCTCTAATCAAGGGGGAGTGGAATGGTATGAAAGAACCCCCATCTGGAGTGTCTCACCACCCACTAGCTGTGTGTGTGCACACCTCTGAGGCCTATGCTGCCTCGGCTGACAGTGCTGCACATGGATCAGATCTTAGGGGCTTTTCACACTCTGGTGGGCTAGGATTCTGATAAACATTATCTGTTGAGTGTGGGTGATTAAGAATACCACAAATGGCTAAACTGTTCTCTTTTGAAGTATGCATTTACTTTCCACTGAATGAATAAATATTCATACACATGTATAGTCTCATCTTACAGGACAGTCTGAGTTCTCTAGGAGACACTAGACCACTCCCAGGTAAATGTAAACAATCACACACTTCCCCAGACATTTCTAACAAGTCCAGGTAGAGAAAAAATCACTAATCCACAGCTGCATCACCCAGAGCAGGAACTCCATTTTCCCAAACCCCTTGGGGTCTGATAAGTGACTCTCATGGTCCCCACCAAGCAGTCAACACATCTGGCACAAGACTGGGGTTCCCATTCCCCCATCAACCTCTGGGAGAACAGGGTGCAGATCTCTGTCATGTCTTACATGGTTATGTTTGGAGGCCAAATGGGAAGAGGAAGAAATACAACTTAAGACTGGTTCTAAAAAGTATCAGGGACACTGGACCATGCCAGTGTCAGTGAAAACCTCGTCAGGCAATGGAGTCAAACAAGGCTGTGTGGGCTCAGAGCCCTCTCCCGCTGGACACCTGCACCCAGCAAGCCTCACCACCCACTAGTGTGCCATCTACTCTTTAGGGGGGAAAAGTTGTCATGGTTACTTTGAAATTAGATTAATCTGTAACAACTAAATCTGAAAGAACATGTTTGCTCGCTGAACTTCTCATTTAATCATATTACATGTAACAGAGCCAGTCATTTTCAAGGTATTTCTATTTTTCTCAATTGCTTCCAGACAGTTCCATGGCTTTGTGATCTTTTTCAATGAAAATAAATGAACCATCTGAAAAAACAAGTACACAGAAAACACCACTTCCTAAATTTTAACATGTTAAATTTGGAAATCACTTTTTTTTCCCCTCCCAGAGGATTTTTGGTGAGTTCTCCACACCAGAAGTCTGAGTATAATTTCAAAAAGAACTTTGGGAGAAGCAAAAACATGGTCTGTTGGTCAGATGGTTCTAGAAGTTATTAGAAAATGGCCTGCCCTGGGGCCCCACATCCTTCCTCCAGCTGTGGGTGGAGAGCCACCCGATAACCACCGTCCAGGGAAAGTGCCAGTACCCTGCCTGCAGAGCACCTCCACAGGGGTGTGCTACTGGGGAGCGGGGAGAACGGCAGAAGCACACCCCACACTCCTTAAGGGTAAGTGGCCTGTACATGGCCGAACACCAGCTCCACCTCAGGCGGCAGTCAGCCTGGCCTGGAGGTCTGCAGCAAGAAGCAAACTGGGGCCTGAGCCTGTGGGACAGGAACAGCCCCTCTCACCACTGTGGGTCTCCTCTGTGTGACAGATCATACACTGGGGGCTCTCCCTGCATTAGCCATTCAGCACCTTCTCATACATGCCAACAGGTCCCACATGTAGGGGACGACAAAGCAGCGTTCACCTCTTCCCAGGCCTGACAGGCACGATTCCTCTGGTGAAGAGCTAGGCTGGCTTTTCAGGAGTCCAGGCCCTGTGTTCACCACTTGGGAAAAAAGAAGTCAGTCCGATGCAGCTTGCTACACCCTCAGCTACACAACCCAACGCTTTTGGAGGACAGGCCCTGGTGTAGAAGAGGTTGTCACCAAAGGAAAACAAGACTGGAGTCAGGAAGCCTGAACTCAGGGCATCAAGTCACAGTTTACCCTGTCTGCAAGAAGAGTCTCTCTTTACAGAATTAGGAGACTCCACCAGCCCTGTCCACTCCGGAGCCAGTGCACAGACCCAAAGGTACAGCACTTTGCAACTGCACAGGCCACCCTGGGCTGGTCATGCATACCTCACAACCCCGACACCCACCCAGAAGAAACAAAGCAACAACAAAGTCTGGCTTTAGGAAGCAAAACATGCTTACTGGGCACTCCTGACACTAGTCGAAGTGGTCGTAACACTCGAAAGGCACGGAGAGCTTTGACATCAAAGCCTCCTGATTTGCCACCAGAGTGGTTACCGCCTTCTGTTTCTTTGGTTAATTGTTCCAAAATTACACTAAACAATCTGAAAGAAGAAAAGAAGAAATGTTAGAGTCTGTCACCCAGGGAAGCAAAACAGAATGATAATAGTAGTTATTTTTGAACAAGGGCTAATTCTGTGTGGCTGCTGCTTAAAGAAAAAGGGAGAGACACACAAAGGCAAGGACTGGAAGGGGACCCTGACAGGGCCTCACAGGTGAAAGAGACAGGGGTGGGGTGGGGCTCATCCCTGTTTCCACCAAAGGAGAACCCTCCAGCAAGTCAAGAGGGGACTCCCCCAAGGTTCACTCATGGCAGAACTGTCCCGGCAGAAATGACAATATTTATAGCAGCTACTGTTAATGAAGGCACACTGTATGCTATATACTTTACATACATTTTCTCATTAACCCTCACAAAAAGTTAGGCAGTATGAATTATTGTTAACACCATTTTACAATGAGGAAACCAGCAAGTAGCCTGTTGATTTCTGTGGTTAGTCTGTTGTAGCTTGGTGCTCAGAACTGTTTCCAACATACAAGAGGCAAAAAAATATCTGATGAATAAATCAGTGAATGCCGATTGACTTCAATGTCCCAAACCTTAACCCATACATCCTACCACTTGCAACAGTCACTGACACACCTTCATCCTCAAAGGGATGTTAAGGAAAAGATGTTAATCTCAGGCCTTAGGAGCTGTGTGAACACCAAAAGCAGTAACCTGAGGTATGTTATCGTTTTCTCTTTGGAAATGTGAAAAATATTATATCTGGCAGTCACAACAAATTTTTTTCCTCTTCTGAGAAGATTTTTTGGATAAAGCTATTTTCAGGCAATCTGCTCATTTGACAGTTCCTTTTGCTCTTTCAAATAAACATTTATTCTTTGCTTGTTTTTCAGAATAAATATAAATTTTCCCTTTTCAAATAGAATCAACTCTGGCCAATCAGATAGTGGGAATGCTTGGCCCAGCAACAAAGAAAAGGTTTCCAAAGTTTAATTAGCAGCCAAAGCAGAAACTCTGCCTCTGCTGGCACATCTCTGGATCGAGACACTGGAGTCCATAAAACGCAGGGTGGTCCGACTGCAATGCTGGTGGGGCACAGTCATGTCCTTCTGGCCCATGTGTTCATGCGTTCGGTAGCAGTACAGCAAGCAGGAATGTAGCAGCCAGGGGGGCAGTTCTTGGTGAAATAGGGCAGGTCTCTTACCTTTGCAAAGCTGCAGGTGTTGAGCACTCTTAGTTATGACTGGGGAACTGCATCAGATGTCTGACCATCTTCTCTCATTAGCATAGATTTTTAATTACTATACACCCTGCAGCAAGGTTTGTGTTAAAAATCCCCAAAAAGAAGTTCCTAACTTCACCCCAAGAAAAAGAAAAGAAACTTCTATGGCTGAAATATGGCAGCCCAGAATTTTCACCCCAAAGGTTAGGAAAGTAATCTATACAGGTGGTGACTTCAGATTGCTTTCAAGGATCAATGTTTTGCTATGTAGACTCCATGGTTCTTTTACCCCATTCGTGACGCCCTTGAAAACAAGTAAATAGCCTCTCTCCTATTACTGAGAAGCCTGAGTCAGAGAGGCGAGCTGGCTGCCATTTCCAGACAGCCGGGGGCGTAGAGGATCTTGGCTGGCTTCCACTCCTAAGGAGGCACTAGGAAAAGTCCCCATTGTATTTTGGGGTTGTTTCTCCCTCTGTAAAGTGAAAAACTGGATTAAATGATCCCAAGTCCTCAAGTCCTCTCATTCTAATATTCTGTGATTCTATACCCTTTGCCTCTCTCATACCAAAAAAAAATGTGACGCATGCTTCAAGAGATAAGGGCACAAGGAAAAACTATTTGATCCTAAAATATCATTTTAAAAAAAAGATTTATTTATTTATGCATACAAGAACTGGAGTATGGGCCAGAGGTGGGGGGGGGGGGTTGAGAGGATGCACTAGAGATAGAGTGAAGAGCAGAACAGGTAGAGCTACTGAAATACACTGCTGAGGGGAGAAGCAGGTGGGTCAGGAGAGGTCTGCTGTGCCATGTTAATCTCCTCCCTGGACAGGGATCAAACTCATGCTGCAGTGGCTGCAGATAGCTTCATAGTGCTGCGCTTTAACCCCCTGTGCTACCAGGGAGGGCCCTGATCCTAGAATATCATTTTTAAAATGTTTTAAGTTGATCCCAAGACAGGAGTGAAAAGGAAAGAAGACTAGAGTTAGAAGCACCAGAATGTTCTAAACAAAAGTTTAAATGGCAAATCTAATCAATTGAAGTGTTCACTGACAAATTAGAGGAAGGGGATCCAATAAATTATACTCAAAGTTGGCACACATCAGTTTGCACTCAGGGACACACATCAACTCCAAAAGACAGAGAGCCCTCCTGTGGTCACATCATTAACTTACTTTAGAAATATCAATCCCTTTCTTAATGTTTCTGTCACTGGAAATCTTAACAAAAGCAACAGATCAGTTTGCTTACAATGGCAAATCCACTGGATTTGAAAACTCAATAGAAAACTTCAGTGAGTAGGAATTTTATTCAAATGAAGACATGAACTTTTTACTTACACTTTCTCAATTCCTTTTTGAGTCCTGTTTAATGCATCTTTTAGAGTAAGAATAATGTGATGCTCTAAAATTTTCTTAAAAAGAGATCAATGAATCTAGTTAAATTTTAATTTCCTTAGACTTTTAGCTTTTAGTTCAATTTATACATAATTAGACACACACATTTTAAAGTATGCAAAGAGATGAGTTGAAACAAATGTGTAAGTCTAAGCAATAAGCACCACAATCAAAACACAGAACATTTCCAGCCTATTAAGCAGTAACCCTTTGCAGTTCTCCAAGTTCAGATGTAGGTAACCACTAAGCGACTGTTTATCATTGTGTGTTATTCTCTTCTTCTCTATAATCTTACATGACTGGAGTCATACAGAATTGTTTTTTGTTGATCTTCTTTTCTTCATCATGTTTTAAGATTCACCCAAGTTGTTACATGTACCAGGAATTCACTTACTTTTATTGTTAATTAATAACCCACTTTATAAATATACTGCAATGAGTTTACTCAATCACCTGTTGAGAGATATTTGGGTTGTTTCCAGTTTGTCTCATTCATGGAATATCTTTTGAAATGTGTTTTCATTTATCTTGGATAAGTACCTAAGATAGTACAATCAATACAGTCATGTGGGCTGTGTATGATTAAAAATCTAAGGAACTGGCAAAATTTCAATTTCTACAAACAATGTATTAAGAGTTCCAATTGCTCTATTTCTTGATTAACACAGGGTATCTTTTTACATTTAGAAATATATTTTTCATATTTCTTAATAGTAAGTATATAATGTTATGTTACTGCTGTTTTCTAAAAATTTTAGATTGGAGGATTATGAGTGCTTTGGTGTGGATGTAGCATGGTAACATATACCTCTGGATCATGTACAGTATTGTAAACTAAAGTACTTCAATAAAAAATTTTAAATAGGTAAAAATATTAAAAACAAAATGTACGCCACAATGCACTGCTTTTCAAATTAACAAAAGGGAAAATTAAACCTAATTTTAAATTAACAAAAAGAAAAATTAAATCATTTTCAAATTAACAAAAGGGAAAATTAAGCCTAAACCCTTTAATATATCATTTTTAAATTACATGTACTGAGATCATTTAAAACACTGTATATATTTTAGAGGTATAGGTTCATACCTTAACAAATGCATATTTTTATACCATGCCCACCAACAAAGTCCCAAAAACCCTCCATCACAAAGCAAAAACAGGGTGGTAGTGAGAACACAGGAGGGAAGGGGCACAATGGAGTAGGATTATTGAGGCTCTGGTGGTAGGTGTGGTGTGATAACATTTATAGAGCTGCGAAGTTACCCCCAAAATATATAGTTATAAGTCAACATTGTCTCAATAAACATAATTAAAAACAAATGATAGGACCCTCTCCGGTGGTGCAGTGGGTTAAAGAACAGCATTGGAAGCTAAAATCACTGCAGCATGAGTTCTATCCCCACCCTGGAGGTGACCACATGGCGTGGCAGACCTCTCCTGACCCGCCCGCTGCTGCCCTCAGTAGTGTACTTCGTCAGTCTGCCTATTCTGCTCCCCACTGTCTCTGGCGCACCTCTGCCTGTACCCCAGTTCTGTATGCATAAAGAAATCTTAGAAAAAATAAAGGATAAAGAATTTTAGACTTTATTTTTCCTTTTTTGTGGGGGATAAAAGGGCATTAGCACATTTCAGTTGCTCATGGAGACAAACCTGTGCATATATTTGGTTCACTGCTGAAGTCCACGTCTATATTTCAGTCAACCATTGCCCCTGATATCTCAATGTACCTGCTCTTCCGGTTATCCTTCTGGTCACTAATTGATATCACAGTCCAAAAGTTCGCTCTTGCTTTTACTGAATTCTCTCTACATCACTTGAGTACTATCATATGGTTTGTTTTTTACTTTCTGGCTAATTTCACTAAGCATAAGTCCCGTAGGTCCATCCATGTCGTTGCAAATAGCTGAATAATATTTAATTCTGCATATCCCACATCTTCTGAATACGTTCTGATATAGCCATATGGAAAGCAATATGGAGAATCCTCATGGTGGTTTTAATTTTCATCTAATTACCAGTGATGTTGAACATCTTCACAGGTGGTTCCCTGTTAACCATTTATGTATCTTTTGTAAAGAGCTGTGATATCTGCTGCTACATATATGTATATTGGTTTGTCTTCTGCTGAGTTGTAAGAATTCTTTATAGATTCTAAAATCAAATCCTTTGTGTGAAATATGTGTATTATGAGCATTTTTCCCCCAATCTGTGCTTTATTTTTTTTATTTCTTTCACACTGTCTTTTGAGGAGAAGTTTACATTCTATTAGGGCCCGAATTCAGTTATTTATTTTTGGTCAGTTTCTATGTCTAGGAAATCTCTACCTCAAAGTCAAAGATTTTTCTCTTAGAAGTTTTGCATTTATAGCTTTTACATCTACAACTATGATATGTAGTATTTGTATGTGACTTTTAAGATATTTTATACATCTTTTTTTCATATGGATCAACAGTTGTTCAGCACCATATGTTGAAAATAATTTCATTAATTCATTGAATTACTAAGATACTGTGTCTAGAATCAATGAACCACACACACCGCTCGACTTCCCAGTCTGTCCTGTTCCTGCATTTTGTCTGTCTACTCCTCAGGCCAGTATCGCACTATCTTGACTACCCTGGCTTTAGAGGTCCCAGCTTTGTTTATAAACACTATTTTTGGCTAATCTAGAACCTCTCTAACAGCTATATCAATTTTAGAACAAACTTACCAGTCTCTAGGATCCCATTTATAGTTCAATTTGGAAAGAACCACCACCCAACAAGATTGTGTCTTCCAGTCCACAAGCATGTATCTCATTCCACTGATTTAGGTCATCTTCAACTTACCTCGGCAATTTTCAGCTTACACTACACTGTGTATCCTCAATAGTTCACGGTTTTGGTGTATATAGCACTGTCTTTAAATTTTTAGTTTTCAATTGTTCATGACTACTATATAAAAATTCATGTTTTAATACTCAACGTTTTTATCCACATTGTTAAATTCATTTCAAAATATAACTTCATATGATTTTATTCTTCTTAAATTCAGCAACTCATGTTTTACAGCCCATAATGGTGAATATTCCAAGTGCACACAAAAAGCTGCTGCTCTCTGCTGTTGGAGGAGTCGCCCAGAAATGTGACAGGAGCTGCCTGACAGCGCCAGTCATGTCTCCCTGTGTCCTCAGTGATCTTTCATCTGGATGTTCTATCGTACTCCTCAAGAGAGGAGTACTCAAAAGCTGAACTCCAACCGTGATCTGTCTATCCTGCCTTCAGTGATTTTTTGTGATGTGTATTTGGAAGCTCCTTTATTATATACCTGTATATGTGGCGGGGGATTAGGATCATTGAGTCCTATTGATGAAATAACTCCTTTATCATTATGAAATACCTGAAGAATAAGTTGTTGAATATTCATATTGCCACACTAGCTTTCCTTGAATAGTTTTTACATGATATGTTTTTCTGTTTTTTACTTTCAATTTATTTGGAACTTTAAAGGTTTCTTATAAATAAATTTTAAAAAGCAAAATAAAGTTGATTTCTTGTAGACACTATGGAATGGGACTTGGTTTTTAATATGTAAAATCTGATAAACTCTGACTTTAATAGGGTTTAAATCCATCATCTTGCCATTTGTTTCCTCTTTGCTCTGTCCAATGTTCCTTTTTTATTATTCTCCCTGCTCTTTTTAACTTAATTGAGCTTTTAATTTAAAAAAAATCCATTCTCTAGTATAAGGTTATTAACTACATTTCTTAATTTTTCTAGTGGTTCCCCTACTGCAAATGTCAGCAAAATTTTTCTGTAAGGTTTAGTCAGATAGTAGACTTTCAGTTAGTTTAGCCAGATAGTAAGTATGATACGATTTGCAAATTTAACTCTCAATTTTGCCTTCTTAAGACCAAACAGTCTTAGAGATGAGTGAGTGTGATTGTCTTCCAATAAAACTTTGTTTGCCAATCAGGCAGCAAAATATTTTGTCAAAAGATTTTTTAAAAGGCAATCAGCCAGACTTAGTCCATGGGCCAAAGTTTGCTTGCCATTCTCGAGTTGACAATATACACATTTAACATATCACTAGCCTGTCTTGAAATATTTTATCACTCTGCCTACTATATGAGCACTTTTCAATAGTTTACAACTCTTTTCTTGTTCTTGTCTTTTGTAAGGACTGCCGTGTATTTTACTTTTATAGAAGCTGTAAACCCCACAATTACTTTTGCTTTGAATAATCAATTTTGCTTTAAAAAGTCAACTTTTAAACTAGATTTTTATATAAGCAAAAATATTTTTATACCTATCCATGCATTTACCCTTGCTGAAGCATTTGGAATCCCTTCTGTATAGACCTGTATTTCCATCTGGTGTCACCTTTCCCAGTGTGAAGAAATTTAACAGTTTGTTGAAGTACAGTACAGACCTACTGGTGATGAATTCTCAGATGTGGATCCCATTTTAACTTCCCAGCCTTGAAAGGACAGGCTGAAAATTTACCCACTTTCCCAATAGTCTTCAGTATTTGCCCTCCTATTAAAAGCCAAAGGATTCATGATAAGAAGAATAATACAAAAGAAAAACACCTTGCTGAATTGCAAAAGCCGACAAAGACAATAAGACAAAGTCATGGAGATAGAGAGAGGCCATTTACCAATCTCTCTGTCTAGGAACAAATGTAATTTGGGGAGTCATCCACCTCACAGCTGGGTTTCAATGCACAGAGCATAGAGCTTACATTCTAGGAGGGTATTTGGTGTAAAGGCCCAGCAGACCTCTGGCCCTGATTCATTTTCTCCTGCTAGTAGTATGCAAGGTACGGAAGGAACTGAATAACATAGGCCACTATTTTTAATTAAACACTCTTTCATTGAAACTCTTGGTATCTTCTTACTGTGACAGGATTTTAGGAGAACATCTGCTTCTCCGTATTTTCTGGTTTATTTCCTTTCATGCCAGATAGCTGACATTATTCAGACACTTCTTTTGATATTTTAAATGGAAAAGGAGCATGCCAAAATGTTTTTCCACAGTCAGCAGAAAAAAATGATAGTTTTGTTCAAGGAACGTTGACTAGCAGAGGGCCATACTGTGGTGAAGGAGTTAGTTAGTGCTTCTTCACTGTGTTTTGTTTTTCAGCAGGGTGCTAAGTGTCAAAGCTCTCCATTTGACTCTAGTCACCAGCAAGGCATGTTTGTGGAGACTCAAGGCTCTGTCAGGTGAACCCTCACCAATCAGGAGCTTAGCTTTCCTTCTCTAACACATGACAACAATGAGAATTTGGAGCCCCGTGTTGCCTGGAGGTTGACAGTGGCATTGCCAGTCTATAGAGAACTGCAGGATGGCCATCTTCCCTCCTGAGACCGGGTCTTCTGTTACTTCCCACCTCCCATTTTGCAAACCAACATTTCCACCCACCCCCCAGTAAAAGGAACTTACCCTACTATTACTATAACAAAATCCAGTAAATTCCATCCATTCCTAACGTAAGCATTAGGATGTAGCAATAATCCATATGCTATTATCTTCAAAAATGTCTCGACTGTAAAAATAATCAGGAAGGCATATTCTACTTTTTCCTGTGAAGAGAAACAAACAACAAGAAAGGAAGGGAAAAAGTTAGAATCATTATCTCAGATATATAAGCAATTTTCTCCAAGCAAAATTTTATTACAGAAAGTGGAACAATTAACACTGCACCTGGGCTAGGAAGGCATTTTAATTTTAACACTGAATTTCTCATAAGCAACTAAGTGTAAAACACTTTCATTCCAAGCTGCATGATTGCATTTTGCCACCTGCCCCAATGCGTGTGCAATGAGTCTGCCTGGGACATAATGGACATGTTTGTTATTTGCGCACATTTGCAAAATGCAGCATGTTTTCCTCCTGAGATTGCCAAATCGGGCCCCAAAAAAGCACCATGGTTCAACAGAGATTCCCACAGCAGCCTTGAATAGAACATCCTTTGGGAAAAAATGAAGATGCATCTGCTTTGAACCCCTCTTCTTGGTTTATATCTGACTTGGAAGGTCAGCTTTGTCACTCAGCAGCAAGGTGACCTTGGACAAGTCCCTACTTTCCTTCTGGACAGAAATTTCCTCAGATGTACAGTGTAGGGGCGCTGGCAAATTCCAGATGACAAACTCATACATGTTTATTGGTGGGCACCTCTCCTGCCACCTCTCTGGCTCACACCACAGAGTCATCACCATGCACTTTTCCAGGGAGCCTAGGTGCAGCCTCTGAATCCACTTGTCAACAGCCCCAGCAGCCATTCCCATGTGGCTGCACTGACCTCCCAGATGCTCCCCGTCACACTAGATGAATCTTAGAACCTTTCCATTTCCAACTCATGAGAATCTGATCTCTAGGAAACACCTCCATCAGCAAGTCTAAAATTTTCAACTCTTTCCTCTTTCATACAGGTTTTCCTTATTGTTTCATTTGCCTTAAAAATATCGACCAAAGGGGATGTGTACAATCAATTTGACCAGAGGCATTCTCTGGCAAGAAGCTAGTTAAACAGCAACTAAATGAAAAATCATCAGCAACTGAACTCTTCATGTGAGCCAAGAAGTCTTCTAGCACAGATTCTACTTGGTGGACCTGAGGAAAGTTAGATATCTTGGGAAAATGGAAATCGTGATATTCACTCTTTAAGATACTGAGCACAGGAGGTCAAATGCATCTGTCTCCGCAGACAGAGTGAGCACCCTTGTGCACAGCGACACTGAACCAGGAGCAGGGCTCAGGGGAACGGCGAGGACAATCCCTTCGCCTCGAAAGGTTCAGTCAGGCAGAGTGTGGGGGTTTCCTAAGGTATATCCAGACACATCCCAGGAGAGGGAACTGCCGAAGGGCAGTTCTGCAGCCCGAGCCTCTGACGTGCCCACAGGCAAGACCGCTTCCACCCTGCCAGGACTTTGTTTTGTGGGATCACTGTTCTGCCTGAGCCACCCTGGGCCCTGGCAGCCTGCCACCTGCGTGCTACCCCTCTGTCGCCAGGCAGTCCCTGTCCTGGGCTGACCTTGCCAGTCCATGCCACCGCATCCTCCTTCCTGATCACCAGGAGAGCCATCCAGCCTCTGTGACACCCAGCCTTCACCCCGTTCAGAGCTCTCCAATATCATGACGAAAAGCCAGAGCCAGTCCATCCATTTTCCCTCCCCAGTTCCTAGACATTCCCAAACTGCGCTCCAGGTTGGATTCTGGGAACCCGAGCACAGTGGTCCAGTAAATTCTGCAATGGGGTAAACTTGCCACTGGCAGTGTTTTTAGTATTGTTAGATGGTTTCCCAATTTCATAGCTCAGCCTCCTCCAGCTCCCCTCAAAAGGCCTTCCCTGGGCCTGGCTCATCTGTGCAGCCATGCTCCAGGCTAGGTGGGCAACCATGGAAGGCACTCCCAGGGCAGCAGCACCCTACCCCTTCCTGCCACAAACAGATCTCCAAGGATTCCTTGTTTATGCTTCATGTTCCTGGTGAGGCTCCTGTAAGCAAGAGCTCATCTTCCTCCTCACGGTCATTTCCCTGGTGGGGTGCCCCCCCAGGGAGCTGCATTCACACACTGTTTTCTGAGGAACAGGGACTCACTTTCCCAGTGGGTAGGGAGAGGAGATACCAGAAAGCTTAAAGGAGGTAGCAACAGTAACTCTCAGAGCTGAGAGGAAATTCAATTCTGTTGCCTTAACCAGAAGCAAAAATCCCTAAGATACGGCTCCACTGTGCTTGAGTGAGACCCTGGTCACCAAACACAGATGATTAGTCTGTTTTTGAGACTCGGAGTTCTAGCAGAACAAGATAAACTGAAAACAGCTCACTGATTTTACAATTTCTTTTTCCTTTTTATCCTTTGTTTTATTTACTAGGCCAGGCAGGGGGAAAAAACGGTTTTTGCTGCCATCAATATTCATAGCAGTTACATCCCTACGTCAACACAGTGCTATACTTTAGAGCAGAAAAACACGGCAGGGAACAGAGAGTACACCTAGCAAACACAGCTTGTTTTTCCTCTTTGGCTTCTATTTGTAAGTAATTTTGCCACAATCACACAAGGGCCATTAGTGTAACTGAATTGTTTAGGGTTCTTTTATCCCCTTCCTCTTGCCCTTCTTCTCCTTTTTTAAATAATTTACTTTTCCTAAAATCTTTAGGGCATTACTTGATGGATTGACTATAAGAAATAGAACCTTGCTGTAATGTGGTTCTTTACTAGCGAGACTCTACCGAATGACAGCCTGGGGAGCACGACCTCTAGAAAAAGGCTGTACTAAATGGCCAACCGGTTGAGACAAGAGCTCCCCTGAACATCTCACCTAGTCTGCCCTTTCAGTCCCAATAGAAGCATCTCATCTAAAATCCTCACCCTTCCATCCTCATCTGGTTTCCTCTTCCAAATTCCCCAGGGTTCTTCTTCAAGAGCTCTTTTCCCAGTCTGCCTCACCCACTGGGTGTGCCTGCCCCCAGGCATGTGAACTCTAAAGGGGTGAGCACACAATTTGGGGATACAGGACCACCTGAGAGGACTCAGGGCTGGGAGCCAGAATATCTGCTTCCTTCTGATTCCACCCCGGTCCCACTATTTTAGGTCCACATGCAGCTCCCCTTTTTCTAGAATGGTTTTCCCCACCCCACTTTTTCATCAGACCAAATCCTACTTTCCTTCAAAGCTCAAGCTGAACATACTTCTCAGTAAAACCCTCGTGACCTCCTAGACAAATTAGGACCGTTATATGCTGTTGAAGCTCAAACCACTTCTTCGAAGACTACCTAACAACAGAAAATTTAAATTTTAAAATCTTCCCTTTACTATTTGTGTCAACCAATAAGTAATTTCTATAAGATCACAGACCATTTCTATTTCATTCATCATTGTATTCCCAAGGCCTGTCACAAAAATAGGTACTAGAATGTGTAAACGAATGTGCAAAGATGTTTGAACATTTTTCAAAAAGATTTATTTATGCATGCAGAACTGGGGTACAGGCCAGAGGTGCAGGGGCAATGAGAGGAACATCAGAGACAGAGGGGGGAGAAAAACAGGGAAACTGACAAAATACACTGCTGAAGGGAGCAGCAAGCAAGACTGCAGAGGCCTCGTGCACCATGTGGGTCAGCTCCCTGGTTGGGGATAGCTTGCTGAAGCTGCTATGGCTAGCTTCGTAGTGCTGTGCTTTAACCACTGAGCCAACAGGGAGGGACCCTGAACAGACATTATTAAATATTCCTTCCTGCTAAGAAGTTCTGTAACTTTTAGTCAGCTGAGACTATCTTAACAAAATACTACAAACTGGGTGGCTTCAACAACAGAAATTAATCCCACAGTTCTAGGGGTAGAAGTCCAGGTCAAGTTGGCAGTTGTTGATGAGGACTCTCTTCCTGGCTTGCAGAGATCAGCTGTTATTCTTCATCCAGCCTTTCTTTGGTTGCTGTATGTACAGATCGAGAGAACTCTGTGCCTCTTCCTCTTCTTCTTAGGGTACAAATTTAATCATGAGGGCCCCCCCCCCTTGTGACCAAAGCTAAGGCCCCAAACACCATCACTTTGGGGTTGAGCCTTCAGTTTATGAATTTGGGCAGGTGCAAACATTCAGTCTGTAATAAAAGTAAAAGCTGCTCCCTCGGCTGGGATCAGTTCCAGGCAAAAGTTCTAGACTAAATGTCAGGGAGAAATCTGGCACCACAGCCATGCTTGACAAGGTGGGCCATGGGTGTTGCAGTCAGAGAGCAGAGCACATGCAAAGGCGAATCATTCAAAGTTCATCAGAGGCCCAGCACAGTCTGATCACAAGGTATGAGGTACAGATCAAAGAAGAGGGGTAGGCACACGGGTGACTTGGTGATGGGAAACCCGCGGGGATTACAATTGAGATGGGGGGGGGAGTACAAAATGATGTAAAAATAAACTGTTGTAAAAAAAAATACACACAAAAAAAAAAAGAAGAAGAAGAGGGGTAAAGGTGAGGGGCTAATTTAAGAGAGGGCCTGAAGGGTTCATGTGCCCAGCTCCACGGCATGGCCTCTGTTTCTATCTGGAAAATGAACAGATTGAATCAAATGATCTTCCCGCTATCAAACTACAGTTCTATATGTACAGCCTGAAGAGTGCAGCCTTGGAGGGTAGTCGCAGGCAGCCCAGCTCACACTGGCTGGGGTAAAACAGGTCACTGTTCCCCTGCAGGAATGGATGAAATATGTCCTCAGTGGGCACCTGCTTAATGCCACAATGACAAGAAGAAAACAGTTTGCCTTTGTTTCTCTTCACCTTTGGCTTAAAAGTAGTATTTTTTTTTTTTTTTTAGTGTAATCCATGAGTCCAGTTCTAGTCTCTACAGCTGTGTCACCTGGTGGAGTTACAACCTTAAGGTCTCCATATATGAAGTGGGGGAGTCCTCATGTTCACTCCACCCAGAATGTGGTGAAAATCAGATTAAGGAAGAGACAGGAAGAGCTCAGCACACTGCCTAATATTTCAGAGTCGAGGACTCACCCCAAGTAGGAGAGCAAGGAAGTAGAGTCTTCATACAACCTGGAACTTCTCAGAAGAGGTTCCTCCTGAGACCCCCACCACAGTCCAG